TCAGATGCACTTTCCTGCCCTCTAAACTCTAGGATAGCATATCACACTGTCATAAACTTGCTGGTCTGTACAGCTCACTGTTGGAAAGGCATAAGGTTTCCTTCTGGCGAAGTATCCTGTAATGTCAACAGTGTGCATTTGTGACATCTTTTGTCATGGTGCAACTATTTATGGCAACTATGCTTTGCTGGAGGATTTTTTTCCCTGAAGGTCAGGACAGTTGCAGATGAAACAGTCTATCCCTCACAGTCCAGTCCCTTATTGTGCCTCTGCAATTTCTAATTAATGTTTGCTGATTAGAAAAATTACCCTTGGAGTAAACTGACAAAACTAAATGCTGCCAACAGTAATTGTTCAAGAAGTTGGCTTAGCAAGATGGGGCCCTCTGCCTTCTAGTTATGAGCCTTTGTGGTGCACCTAGGTTTGCCATGAGGTCTATTCTGTGTAACAAGGAAAAAAAAACAACACTGGATGCTCTTAGCATGAAGTTCTATTCCCTGAAATCAGACACTGTCTCTCTTCAGGTGAATACAAAATACTGAAAGACACATAATAAAAATAACAGGAGTTGGAAACAATTGGCCTGGCACCTCAACTCTAATTATGACAGTGTTCAGCCACTGCCTGCTCTTGGCAGAGATAGTCTTCTGTGAATGAAGCACCCAGCTTGAACCAGTGCTTGGCCATTCTCCAGCACCTGGTTTAGAGCAGGATTTCTCTGGGCAGGCAGCACCTTTCTCACGCTAGTGGTTCAGGGAAGTCCCTCACACAGGACAGATTTCAGTGGATCACTTCCTCATTCTGCTCTTCTGCTTCTACTTGCACTGGTTAAAAGCTACTTTGAGTTTGAAAATCAGGCATTAGCCCTGGGTCTCTTGAACTGGTGTGAGCATGAATGTGGCTATAGTGGAGGCTGTGCAGCCTGCTCACATCAGCTGAGGGGTCTGGTCCCTCTGTGCAATGGTGGTTTTTCAAGAAACCAAGCAACCCCTGAGGAGCAGTTGAGTGTGATATTGCTTGTGTTCTCCTCCTGGCTGCTCAGAGCATCCCAAAGCCCAGCAGGTATTTTCCATTTGGTTGTGTGGCCATTTTATCCATTTGCTGTGGCAGCAGGCTGTGTAGATAAATATCTACATTTTTAGAAGGC